GTACGAGATCTAGTGAAAATATATTGGCTAGTTGTAGGAGTCAAATATTTCATTATACGATTAAAAACGAAGCTAGATTCAAAGCAAACTATATTCAAGTACCCGGCCACGTCCACTTTAAGTTTTTGTAAGATGTTTTTTTTATTTGTATCTCATCTGATGAGTTGAGACTTTTTCAACTGATTTTTATAGTTCGTTCTTATGTTGTACTATTACACCACTGTCCCAGGTAAGGGGGGAGAGGGTCGGGATCCCGCTAACATGTTCAACCCCGCCACATTCTGTATGTATGTGCCTGTCCCAAGTCAGGAGCCTGTAATTCAGTGGTTGTCGTTTGTTGATGTGTTACATATTTGTTTTTCGTTTATTTCTTTTTTTCATAAATTAGGCCGTTAGTTGTCTCTTCTCATTTGAATTGTTTTACATTTGTCATTTCGGGTCCTTTTATATCTGACTATGCGGTATTGGATTTGCTCATTGTTGAAGACCGTACGGTGATAATATAGTTGTCAATTTCTGTGTAATTTGGTCTCTTGTTGAGTGTTGTCTCATTGGCAATCATACTACATCTTCTTTTTTATATGAAGAAACCAACTAATATGGGTCGCTGATCGGACACGAAAAGGCAACAAAAGGTTATAATGAGAACGACAATTTGAACTTTAATGTAAAAGTTAATGAAAAAAAATAAAAATTCAACAAAATTAGATTTAAAAAAAGAAGAAGCGACTTTTCCTTACATACACTAAAAAAAATCGGCTACTTCATAAATATATCTCGGCATATATTCGGAGAAAAAATATCAAAAGGATTATTGTTGTATAAGTGCGCATATATCAAGCAGCTGGATAAATGTAACATGTCTGGAACAAAAGATAAATCAGTCAGCGACTATTTGCAACATGTGCAAGTGCATTATTTCAAAAGTGTATGAACTATGTGCGAATGATTAGTGCATAACAGGTTGAGTACGACCAGCACTAAAAGAGAATTCAAGAGGCAGTCGAAATGTATTTACTCGTACTTAACAAACGTATATATTTTTTAGCCTTCATATAGGACTTCATATGCAGGAGTGTGCTCCTTACGCAGAAACTCCAACAAAGTTATGAGGAGGAAAGATTAAAAATGACACTCCGTAAATTTTATGGACACTGTCACGAATTGATTGATCCATACGATGTGCCTGTGTCTAAACTAACTAAGGACATGTTTTCTACGTCTTAGATTGTGGTTTACCATTTACGTAGTATAGTCTTTTAAGTATCGAACGTGACATATTCCCGAATATTACGGTTTTAATGAGTGTTAATTCATATTGCTATAGGACGTGTCTCGGTATTTGTTTATCCAGCGTTCATGTATTTAGTTACTGAGTTTTATTTTTAATTCTGATTGGATATTGTTTTGTGTCTTGTCGTTTGTGATTGGATTCTATCTTTTATTTTCTATTCGTATGTTAAAGTAAAGATAATTAATAAACCGGTTCATTTGTAGGATTTTAGTTTGGAGCAACTGTGTGCACATGATTTATTTGTTTTGCACAGTTTGATTTGGAAGAAAGATCGACATGTTTAGTTGCACTATTACTAACACATTTCTATATTAATATTCTTATAATTGTTATAAAATCAATCAAATAACATGATTAAAACCTATTCTTGATATAAATCCATTTTTTTTTAAATTTACATGTGACGCTACGTTTTTGTAGCGTTCGTGTTACAGATACACACTTCGTAATTCTATTAAGCTGTTTTTGTGTACTGTCCTTCATCATTTTAGTTATTCATTGTTATTCTGAGGTTGACATGTCGAAATGTACTATTATATTGTTTATTAAAGTATTTCTCTGTCTTTTGTGTTTTTCAGTTATTTGTTCTGTGTTCCCGTCACGTAGTGTTGTCATTTTAGCGGTATATTTAACACTGCCATAAAGCGCGGATGTTTGGCTAGCCACAAAACCAGGTTCAACGCACCAATTTTCTTAAAATGTCCTGTACCAAATCAGGAATATGGCAGTTGTAATCTAATAGTTCGTTTCTATTAATGTTTCTTTGTTGTTTGTTTTTCGTTGCACTTCTTTGTTCTGTTATTTCGTTGTTTTTCTCTTATAGTTGATGTGTTTTCCTCGGTTTTAGTTTGTAACCCAGATTTGTTTTCTCCCAATCGATTTATGACTTTTGAACAGCGGTATACTACCGTTGCCCTTTTATTTACCTGTAAGGCAAACTCCTGGGTCAAATTAGTGATGCATAGGGTTGTACGGTAGACACAGACAATGATATGGTTAATGTTTGAAACACTAGCTGATATATCAGGGTAAGATTTTTTAAGCGGAATGCAGAACCAACTAAACTAAAATGATCACCTAAGTGATAAGGCATAAGAACCTGCTATATGAACTTCTAGAGACGCACAATTGCGTTAAACTAATAGAGAATAGACAAGCTTTGTTCAACAGTCTTTGAAACTATGATCTAAAAAGACATTGAAATGTCCACTGATGACTTTATTTTGATTAAGCATTATCATTAGTCTTTTTTTTTTTAGAAATACTTAAGCTTAAGCTCTGTAGTACAGATTAGCTCTATCAATGAATAGAAAAAGAAGCAATGACTTTGATCTTAGTATTAGTATCTCTGATGAGTTAATTTGTTCTAGGCGTCTGAAAAATTCAACAAGTATTGCAGCTTAATGTCAATGTCTTTGCTATGTCAACATTTTCCATGATCAATTAAACAGGCGCTACATGTATATTCTGCTTACCCTTCTAAAGTATTTGTGCCAATCCATGGTTATTTTGTGGATTTGTGACCTATGTAGTGTTGTGTAGGATGTTGTTTTTCGTTTTAACAAATATATAAAATAGTGTGCCATCAGTCAAATTTGACATTTTCTTACATCGATATTCATTTCGGTTATATCACTTCTAATGTTTGTACTTATACTTACTAATAGATGATGCTGTTATGATTAGCAATTCTAGCCTCTATTACAGTTTCATCGATATTTTTATTACTGAGAAGACAGTAATGTCTTTACAAAATCTGCAATAATTACTTATCGATAAATAAAGCTTTCAATTATTTCAAAGATCGATGAAACCAAACCCACATTCATGCAACTCACCAGTGATATGCTTACCAATCTAAGCAAAAATGATATGCTTACCGATCTACTCAAAAAACTTTCGTATTGATACATAAAAAAGAATTCAAAGATATCCGAATGAGTACGCATATCCTGCTCTGAATGTGGTACCCGCCCTATTGCTCATGTTAGTACAAGCCCGGTGATAAGTTTAGTAATGTTGGTCACAATCGATGAAAAGAGGACAAAATTATTGTTACAACAGTTGGAATATATAGTATGTGTTTTGTTCATTGTTAAAGACCGTTAGGTGACCTTTATTTGTTAATTTTTTGGTAAGTAATGGAGAGTGGTTGCATTGGCAATCATATCACAACTTCTAATTTTTATATATACGTCTTCTTCTGTGAAAAAAATTATCATAGGCATCAGAATTAAACTTTTGACCGCCAGGTGTTTCGTCTACAAAAAGACTTATTAGTGACAAGCGAATCATAAACGTTAAAAAATGCAGAATAAACTAAGAACTTGAAGAGCATTAGGACCCAAAATTAAGAAAAGGTTTTCCCACATACAGCTTAAGTAATCTATTCATGAAGTAGAAAATCTGCAACATTACGAAAAATTCTAATCAAATTTTATAAACAGTAAATTTATAAGTATGATCATATCAATGATAATCCATGTCAAAAAGGAGGTGCTGATTACTGGGCTGACGAAACCCTTTGGGGTGAAACCCCCACCAACTGTTGCATCGACCCAGTGGTTGTAACATCATAGATTCCAGGATTAAAATTTTGCACACCAGACGCGCCTTCTAAACACTCATTTATTACACTTGTATAAAACAGGCTAAAATGGAAAAAATAAACTATGAATTTGAAAAATAATTGAGAACTCGAAATTCCGAAAGGTTTTTATAAATCTTGACTCAATAGCTAAATATACCTTGTAACCAGCAGTTTTCTTTCAATACAATCATTGTAAGAAACGCAAATCATTACGTAAATCCTGAAATGTTTGAATATATTCACCTCATTTTGTGTTGATATTTAGGTTTAATGTCAAAGGTATAGCCGGTAATTATTAAGAAGATAGACCGATGTTTGAATACATCAAATGGACACCTTCACAAAGTGAAATAATGTCCATTGAGGTTCATTTATTTATTTTCGTGGGTATCAATTTTCATAGATTAAAAAACTTGTATTTTACATGTTTTATTTCGTTGATATTTGATATTTGATTTCGCGGTTTTGAATAATTCTGGTTATAACCTTTTAAATAATTTGTCATTGCTTGAACGTTTAAATGTGTATCTCATGAGTGCCATTGAGAAAACTCTCCATCCAAGTCACAATTTGTAAAAGAAAACCACAAAAGGTCAAAGTACGGTCTTAAACAAGGAGCCTTGGCTCACACCGAAAAGCAAGCTACTTAAAAATGACTAGTGTAGAACCACTCAAACAAGAAAACCAACGGTCTAATTTAGTTAAAAAAAAATAAATAAAAAACGAGAAACACTTATGAACCTTATTAACAAACGACAACCACTGAACATCAGGTTCTTGTCATAAACAGTCTCCCAAATAACTGACTTTAAGAGTGTCATTAATTAACATTATGTACAATGAATACTGCTTCAAAAGAGTTTCAAACAGATACAAAGTCTAAAGTTGTTTTTTAAATTGATTTAAAACGTGACCAAAAGACTCTCGGTGAACTAAATGTTTGTAAGGTTGTTGTATGTATTTTGTTATCGACACTAGAGAAAGGAGACAAAACGCCTGACATTAATTTTAAATTCGAAGGCTGGTTTTATATATAATATAATTTTTGTCTCAGATTTTTATGCTCTTTTTACCATCGTAGTACATGTAATAGGATCATAAAAAACTAGAAAAAAGTAAGATTCAACAGATAACGAATTCTTTAAATATATATATTTTTTTATGGCATATAACAAATCAAAATTTGATTGATTAATTTTTATTTGTGTCTTAACTGTTAGGTGACACATTTAACGATTGTTTTCTTTTGTCTTTGCCTCAATTCATGGACGACTGTGCTTCTTCTTTCCACAGTGGCTCTTCTTTGTTTTTGGATCTGCTGTAATAGTTGGTGTTGCAGTTGTTGGGCATGCTTTAGGGATGGTGTCACTCGTATTACAAACTTTACCAGGCGGGAAACATCCTGATGGTCTAGTGCAGTCAAGCGACAGTGTGGAGATAGCTGAATGTACATTCGAAAGATGTTTTCTATGTTTTTGTTTATCTACGCAATATTTGACAACAGAAATAACGATTAAAATTATGATAATAATTATCATAATGTTTATAATAATTTAATCATTTTCTCTTTGATTAATTTATCATTCTACTGTTACAAATGTAATTTTGATAATAAAACTAATGATAATAATAAAAAAATAAGAAATATAAAGCACATTTATATTTTGGTTCATAATTACAGTCTAACAATTATGTTTGTAACATACTTACACGGTGGTCCTGTTGCTGCAAAGAAATTTGTACCGGTCAATGTACTATCTTTGAAAGTAAGTCATAAACACAACATTTCATTTTTTATTCGTCTGCTTTGGTACATAATTTAAACCCATGAATAATTTTTACATTTGTCGAACTTATTGATTCCAGTTCCTATTCAGCAAATAATAAATAAACAAACTAGTCGTTCTTTTTCCATAGATCTGAGTTTAGTTCTTTTTTACGAGGTGATTTGTATTTATTTCTACTTTAAGCATTAGTCTTTCTGGTCTTTGTTTTCTTCGAATTTTTATTGGAACCTTCGGTAATGAAAATAAATCTAAAAATCGTGACTTATGAAAGAAAAGAAATTATCATTAGTTTGGAACTAAGGGGAAACACAAAACATGAAAAAAAAACAGGTGGTGACTCATAATAAATCAAAATGTATTATTTAGTGATGTCATACAAAGGAACATGTTTAACAATACATTACACATAAACACTAAAGTAACGGAAAATAATAAGAAACAAACAACAATAATCAAAACACAGCATAGAAAAAAGTAGATCACCAAAATCTTTGGTTGATCTTAGATGCTTCAATATGAAAATGATCTCAGTAACCATCTACATAGATAATTTACGAATGGACTTTCTGTCGTATAACTTTTGCAATTTTCTGGATTTTTTTTGAAATCATGATGAGAAATTCATAACAAATCCATCATAAACGACAGTGTCTTGTAGAAACGTGTAATTCATTCTGTTAAAAAAGCAAGCGTTTTTAAGATCATTATAAATTGATAATATATAAGAAAACCAAACAGCCAAAACATGCAAGGTCCATGTCTTGTTTTTAAGATATAAGCAATTAAAACTTGATCGAATTAATCTTTATTCGTACTTAAAATCCGGAAACCATTTTTGCTAAATTGTTCATTATGTTGACATTTTCTTTCTATATGAAAAAAATATAACAGCTATGAAAAAAAAAATAATTAAAAAATGGTTTATTTAATAAAATTAAGAACAAAAGAGCTAATTGGTAAATATTAAAAGCACCATATGAATTAAATCAGAAGATTCAGAACATCTGATCAAAAGTAAAAAACAAGATAAAAAGAGTATAAACATAAAATGTTCTTACCAGAAAGAATCCTTGTATAACGCGGCTCTTTACAAAATTCACATCAATCTGTAAATTCTCCTGTCTGGTTGATAGAACTAAAAGAATCTAAATAGTGTGCAAATGGTTTGTTATTAAGAACATGTATTTCATGATATAGCGAACGTTTTGTGGCCGAAGGGTTTCTACAAAATAAATTCGAACATACATTATTCTAAAGTTAAATGTGCTAGATATACTTATTATAGGTGTGATCAGACGATTAATTTTCTCCTTGACAACATTTATGTACGTTTCGGCAATAAAGTTTATTGACAGATTGTAGGTGTTCATATGGGCACAAAGTGTGCCCCTCTAATTGAAGACTTGTTCCTTTACTCTTTTGAATCACAGTTTAGGCCAAACGCAGTAAAAAAACGTCTAAATTTCGTTTAATTGATAAATTCAACAACACTAACCGTTATCTTGATGTTTTTGTTAGACATTGCCAGATGTTTTTTATTTGTATCCTTCTGATGAGTTAATCCTTTTTCAATCGATTTTTATAGTTTAATGCTGACATAAAAAGAGGCAAAAGAGACCAAGGGGACATTCAAAACTTCCAAGTTAAAGAATAAATTAACAACGCCATGATAAATACTTATTAAAAAACGAGACTTATCATGAGCAGCACGAACCACTTCAAAATCCGGTTTGAAATTGCGTGATCCGGAAGGTTGAAAATTTCCTGCTCCACATAAGGCATCCGTCTAGATGCTAAAGCAAGTACGAATCTAGTATTGAATTGCATTTGTTGATATGACAATGTAAAAAAAATAAACAAAAATGAATTATGCAAATAATTCATACTATGGAATAACGCATCGTATAAAAATTTTGTTCTGTAAAATTTTAAATCATCCATTATTTTCATATTTGTAAAAGATTTTATTATTGATAGTTGAGGACATATAATTGTCAAATATTTAATTACTTTGAGAAATACTTTTGATTATGTTCTTCATGTTTAGAAAAATCTTTCCAGAATAATTATGTTTTCGATAAACTATTGATATAAACATGTACTGTGGATTCCTTATTATTCGTTTGATACCAATGTTCGTGGGTTTTCGTAGGTACGAGTGAACCATGAATTCGAATGTTCAACGAATTACAGATTTCGCATAGGCTTTGTATGCAGAGATTGGTAAAACCACAAAATCAAATTTCCTCAATCCACGAAATTTGATACACACAAAAATAAATGAATCCACAGTATCATACGAATATGCCAAGTACTCAACTATGACAGTATAGAATATGATACAATAATAATGAGATCAACACCATATAAACTTACTCCCCCCTCCCAGTATAAACTCTAGAGGAATTTCAGGATTATAATAAATCGGGTAGCATCTAAAGTACTGACTATCACCATCCCTGGAAAAAAATGAAATAACATTACTTTATCTTGTTTCAGGCATGAATTACCTTACTTGCCTTTACCTCATGTACATTTTTTCATATTTTATTTTATATTTTTTACTTTTAACCTAAATTGCATGCATATAATGAATTTGATTCTAACAAAAACATTGTAACTTGGATGGAGAGTTGACTCATTGACACTCATACCACATCTTCCCATATCTATGAAAACAAAACAAAAATCAACTTAACTATTGAATGGCTAATAACAACAGGTTACATTGTTGCATAATTGTCGCCTCCTTTGAGATCGATTTGATAAAAGGCATTTAGATTTACAACGAAGCAATACAATAAAAAAAGACAAACATGCATCATGACAACAACGATAAAAATATTAATAAAAAGAAAAATTGTTGAGAAAACAAATAAAGTCTTTCAACCGCAAACAATATAATTCGATATGAACGTCATTTGTAGTGTCATATGATAGCTTATATCATGCTGATTAAAAAAATATGGTTTCTATACACTTTTGTTTGATATAAGAGAGACAATTTGTTATGTCTTGTTTGTCACTTCCAGTATAATTTATTGGTTTAGTTGACACTGATTCCAAACATATATAGGTCTATACACTTTAACATTAAATAAGTTCAAAAATTGCAATTTCCGGTTGGATTTTTCAATGTCACATTACGTGCAACCTTATGTAATATGTTCAATGTCTTTATACATGTAATGATACAATAAGAAGTTACAGTAAAGGTCATTGTATAACGTCAAATTAAACTTTGACCCTGAATTTAATTTCAGAGTCATTAACCCAGGATCTCTAGGTCTTTATTATATATGGTGACTGCATTATATCAACATACACGTAATTTCAAATATAAGAGGGAAGAAAGCTCCAATTTAATGTCAACGTACCATTTCAACAAACATGTCACAACTAACAATTAAGTAAAAATATTTTATCGATATCTTATACGGTTTTTAATGGAAGTCATAAAAGTCAAAATCCAAATCTAGAACATGACGTCGACCTTGACATTTGACTTGACCTTATTCTTTTTCTTTTTTGTTTAGATCAATGACCTTAAATCAAAAGTCTCTAGATCTCTTTCACTTCTGGTTGACCAATTATAACAGCATATTATGTACATCAAATACATAAGGGGAAATAACTCTCATATGGAATATTCGGATAGCTTCGGTCCAAACGATCATCAGAATCCTGACGTTCAACATTGTAACGATCATTTTGGTGAAATAAATTTGTTGGTTTTTTTTACGGTTGTGAAGGAATATTAAACAAAATATTTGTTTAAATTTTTTTTATTTAGCTCTTTAAAGAAAAGTGTTCGATTAAGCGGTGTCAGTTGTAAAAAACGTATAAACTGTTCGATATGATATACCAAATATTTTTATCGACATATTTTTTAACAATAATACTGCTTAGAAAACAAATTAGGCGGAAGAAAAAAATTAGTAATTAAAAACCAATTGTTCAGAGAACAATTGAATGTCTTTCAACATCAATTTTATAAATTATGGACGAGAAGCTACTTTCGATTTACTCAAAGCTATTATTGGCGTCAAAGCATAGGTTTCGTCATACTGATTGAATAAATAAATGTTTCTATATATTTTTGCATGAAATAAGGGAGATAATTGTCAGCTTCCGGTAGTTTTATTTACATTGATTCCAAAATTATATGGTTTCTATATACTTTTGCCTGTAATAAGGGAGAAATAAGGTACTTCCGGTTTAGTAAAAATAAACTTTCGGTCTCAAATGATAGGTTTATGTATGCATATTTAAAAAATATATAGTTTCTAGGTACTTTTCCATTAAAAAAGTGCAAAAAATAGCTACTAATGGATAACTCTAGGTCACTTCCGGTTTATATTATTCAAGGTCACATGTCAACCAACAGTTTGCAAAAGACCCTATGGCGTTATCAATTACCAAGTTGGAGCGATAATCAATTAACCTTAAATTGAATCATTTCAGGTCCAATAACTCTTATAAGATGTTATTAGAATGTTTCAGACCAAATGTATCATATCTCAATCACAATGAGGCAAACATTTTTTACTAGTTCTTTTATGAATATCTTTAAAAGTGACAGAGAAGATCAAGGAAAAAGGAAAAATTTAGAATTTGACCTTGACCTTTGACCTTGACCTTGTTTTCTATTCTTTGTACCAAGGACCTCAATTCAACAGACCATATGTCTCTATCACTTATGGTTTACCAGTTACAAATGCATATCACTTATTTCAAATGCATTAGGGGAAATAACTCTCATATGGAGTCAAAATTGGACAAAAAATCATAAGGATATAGCGAGCATTTTGGTAAAATAAATTTGTTGCTTTCTTTCACGGAGGAGATATCATAACAAAGAAAACAGTGTTGGGGAGATAACTGTTACAATAAAAAGTCTTCGACTAAGCAGGGTCAGTCTCAAAAGTGCAAAAGCTGTTCAATATCATATGCAAAAAATCTAAGCGACATCTTGCG